AAAAATACAAAAATCAGCTAGGCATGGTGGCAGGCACCTGTAATCCCAGCTACATTGGAGACTGAGGCACAAGAATCACTTGAACCTAGGAGGTGGAGGTTGAAGTGAGCCAAGACTGCACCACTACACCCCAGCCTGAGTGACAGAGTGAGACTCCATCTCAACCCAGCACTTTGGGAGGCCAAGGTGGGCAGATCACTTTGAGGTCAAGAGTTCAAGACCAGCCTGGCCAACATGGTGAAACCCCGTCTCAAATAACATACAAAAATTAGCTGGGTATGGTGGCACATGCCTGTAGTCCCGGCTACTCGGGAGGCTAAAGCAGAAAAATCACTTGATCCTGGGAGGTAGAGGCTGCAATGACCCAAGATCGCACCATTGCACTCTAGCCTGGCAACAGAGCGAGACTCCAACTAAAAAAAAAAAAGAATTCCCTGGGCATCGTGGTGCATGCCTGTAGTCCCAGATACTTGGGAAGCTGAGCCAGAAGAATCACTTGAAACTGAAAGATGGAGGGTGCAGTGAGCCAAGATCATGCCACTGCATTCAGCTTGGGTGACAGAGTGAGACCGTGTCTCAAAAAAAAAAAGCAAAGAAAAAAAGAAATGCAAGAAACTGAGAAAGCAAATCAGAAGTGACGGAAGCAGAAGTGGGAAGGGAGCCTCTAGTATTGCTACTCACCCCGTCATGTACCAGGGCTTTCCAAGAGTGCTCCAACTTCTTAACAAACCTGCAAGAAAAATGTACATCACCTATGCATGTCATTTTAAAATAACTGATCTTAATAACTTTCTATTTTAGGGGGTTAAAGGGGTAACAGAAAACCTTGGAAAGACAGAAGCTGGAAAGCATATCCACTGGTACACTGGTTTTCCAAAGAACAGGCATGGCAGTGCTGGTTCCTCACGAGACCAATGTTGTTTCTAGGTAAGTCAACTATTCCCCATGGGAAGAGGACAATTTATGTCCCTGGCAAATCAGGGACATGAATATTTATTATAAAAGGAGAGCTGAAGGAACAGATAGACAAGACTGGAAAGGGTAGTTAAAATTGGATGATAATACTGAACCAACAAATCAAGTACTTGGTCCCCCTCATTAGTACCTAAAACCTTACAGGAACAAAACTGGGGTCTAACGTTTCCAGCTCCTCCCTGATGATCATGTCATTGCCTCTTAGTTCCACAGGCCAATACTTGTTATAGAACACAGTCACCCTCCTGTTTTTCCTCCATGGAAAAGGGTAACATTTCCAGCTGTATCCCAATGTGGAGTATGACTCATCTCACCGGTTTTTACAAAGAGCCAGACAGATGGCATAGTCTACCCTGGTGCTTCCAAGGACTGACTCAGCTTTCCACAAAAGGTATACACTATGTTTGGGGAGGGAGATTATAAAGGCTGGGGAAAGTGGCAAAATCAAGGAAATAAACCACCTGAAAACTAATGAAGTAAGTAGCCACTTACTTCACTGTTCTTGCTTCAGGAAGAACTTGGCAACAAACCCATCTAAAAGAGAAATGTGAGTGGCTATCTATATCCACCCTCTCTTAATTTGGGATCCATATGCTCCTCACCTGTAAGACTGTAGAATGTCAATGATGCCAATATAAAGCAGAAGCCTTTCCCCTTTACTATTCCGGGCAGGGATGCCACCCATACTGGAAAAGGCAAAAAGAAAAGGTTAAGAAAATCTGTTGGCTAGTTGAGTCAGATCAGGACAGGGAACTGAAACCTAAACATAATTGCCTCATCCTCCATAAACCAGGAGATCAGACAAAAAGAGAAAGAAATATATTAAAAAACCAGGAGAAGGCCGGGCGCAGTGGCTCACGCCTGTAATCCCAGCACTTTGGGAGGCCGAGGCGGGTGGATCACGAGGTCAAGAGATC